GCCCAGGCGCGCCGCCAGCCCCCGCAGCCCCTCCACCACCTCGGCCTCCGCCGCGCGGTAGAGCTCGGCGCGGGGGAGGTCGCCCAGGGGGAGGGCCCGGGCCACGCACTGGAAGCCGTTGACGCGGCCCGAGAGCAGCCGCGTCGTCGCGCGCGGGGGGACCGTCAGCGCGACGCCGAACTTCTTCCCCGCCGCGAGATACACCCCGGCGTCGTCGCCGAAGTCCAGGTCCGAGCGCGCGCCGAACTCGATGCGAACCTCCATCGCGTAGCGGTCGGTGTCGTTGTAGTAGTACCACGCCCCGTCAGGGGTCACGACCTGGTAGAGCATCCCGGCCTCAAAAACCGGCGTCACCTTCCCTTGGACGGCGGGGCCGTCGAAAATATAGCTGATCCCCTCCCCCTTCAGCGCGCGCTGGTCCTCGGCCGTCAACGTCGGCAGCGCCAGGTCGATGGTTTGGTCGTCGAACTCGTCGCACTCGCTGTCGTTGACGTACGGCGCCGGTACGTCGCGGCGGGGCGCGACGTACTTGCGCCCAACCGCCTCCTCCTTCCTCAGGCTGTACAACTGCTTGATCTCCTTCTGGTTGCGAGGGAGCAGGTCGGGAAAGGGCGTCGAAACCCGTACCGGCCGAAGCTCGTCGTCCGCCCTCGCAAAGGATAATGCCGGTGGAGACAGGACCGTGCACGCCTCTTCTTCAGACGAATCCATGGTTGTCGAAATAGGTTGATGAGGACTTCGTAAACAAAGGCACAAATTTAAAAAAAAAATCCTTTTATGAAATGATTTATACTTAAAATTTAACTGATTTCTGTTTAATGAATTATCTCACGAAGAAAAATAAAGTGTTGGTATTCTAAAACAATACAAACAATGGGGAAACGATAAAAAGCATTACGGGGCGAATTGCAAAAGGAAGGACAACGAAATAGGTAGCTAGTATCTTCTAAAACTCCATACGACTCTACAGTCCATCTTGATTTGACTCTCCAGATTCGATGAGGAGTTGCGGAATAAGATTACGTACAATCAAAAGTGTGATATAAGTAACACAAGTTATCTTTTAGATTTTGCCTACAGTGTAAATCCAGACACAAATACTCAACAATAAATGGACATAATTCGTTAAATTCATGCTAAAATAAATTAGAACAAAAATGCGACTGGTTTCAGATTATAGATCGCCACGTCATAGCAACATGGTGCATTTTTAAGATAATAAAGAAAAAAAGGAGGTAACGTAAATAAAATAAAAAAATTTGATCAACTTTAATGAATCATTAAACAATAATAAAAAAACTAAAACACATCAAGATATTGTAGAATTGGATCAATAAGTGGTTGCATGGAAAGCAATTCGCGCAAGTAATACAAACCTTCTGAAAAGAAGGGTCATAGTATGGCACAACTTAATATCCAATTCATTTCAGACAAATGTTGTTTCTCCAATAGCTGATGCTACTGAGTAAATCAACATGTATTTTTTACATGATAAGTATATGAATGGAACGCATTCAATGTTTGGAATTCGAAAGCATGTCAAATCAAATGCGCTAAGGAGATAGCTTCACATCCAGAATAATAAAGTGTAAAGTATCGCCATAGTCACACTCATCGTGAAGAAAACTGAGCGGGAAAACTACCCAACTTGTCAGGAAATTTTACACAGTATGACATCCTGTTTGATAAGAGCATAATTGAATGGAACACGCTCTCAGCCTCAAGCAGCAAAACCTCCAATCTGCATTTATACTGTAAATTGTTGAAAATTTTACTTAGCCTCCTTCCTAAATCCACAACTGTCTAAACGTGCGCATCAGGTTTTAATTTTCGTCTAATGATTCTTTTAGTTTATAACGTCTGGATGGGTCATCTTTAGGAAAACCTATATCAAAAACTCATTCAGTGAAGAAAAGGAAATCAATTCAAGCGTATCGAAAAAAATTAGTATTCCAAACAGCCCTTAATGGGCTAGAAGAAAAGGAAAAAGTAAGATGTGATCTTCCTCTTTAAAGAGAGAAAAAAACAAGCCTAGGACAATAGTTACATATAAATAATATTCTTTCGCGTGAATATACAGAATTCAGTTGGCGAACCATCTAAATCATACACTTATAAAGAAATATATATATACATATACATATACATATATATATATATATATATGTATATGTACTAAGCACCTCATTATACCTCAACAGAAAATTAATATGTAGAATACAAATAATGTACTTTTTTTTTTGACATATCTCTTTCATTTATTTTCCCCCATGACTGTCCATATGCAATATGGATCACATTAATTCTAGATTTGTCCTTTTTATGTTAAAATTTTTTCTTCACATAGACTATCCTTTTCAAAATATACCTGAATGAAGAAAATGGTGAATAAAACTTATCGGTATAGGTTATTTAATGACTTTTATAATAAAATTTTTCTTATCAACTACTTCACATGCATAAGTAGAGAGAAATCATTCGATCGTATAGGATAATTAATGTTTTCCAACATCTACTATAACACATTACTACCCTTTGCTCCCGTATTCATGTAATTGCACCATATATTTAAAATATCAAAAAAAAAGATCTGCGAGGCGCATATCAACCTGGATAGTTTTTTTTTAAGTACTAGAAAAATCAATTTGCCATTCAATTTCAAATTTTATTGAACTCTTTCTAACCATTAAATTCTTTCCCAAAAAGAAAAAAAATAAAACAGTTCATCTTAGCTAAAGATTAGTCACAAAAGGAGACATGTTCAGTAAAATAAACTCAGCGACGCGTAGGTCTGCTAGTCATCCTCCACGCTTTCCCACAGAACCTTCACGTCGAGTCGAACGAAAAAAAAAAAG